TAATCCACATACGTCTCCTGAATGGAAAACAGGCTTATTTATGTTGATGATGAAGATATTGATAACAATAATAAATAACAGTTATAATAGCTATTTGTTAACGATCCACCATGTTAGCTAGGCACTGAATGTCATGGAGGTAAATATACTCTTTAAATTGTCCTTTAATTTTAGAAGGGAAGCATCTAAATGTCTAGATAGATAAAGTGACATCATTTCTATAGTATTAAAATAGAGAAACCTGCTAAATCAACAGAGTCCATGTGTGAATTTGGTTCTACTCATTATAACTCACCCCTTTTTAAAATCATTTAGAAGGCCCAGTTTTGGGCCTAGGAAAGTAAGATTAAAATTTCTTTTAATGAAACAACAAGAAGAAATCACCCAAAACAAACTACCTATACATTTAACTGGAAAATATTAAATTATCAGTTTTTGAGATATTGCCAGCTATGTAGGAGGCTAAGGTGGATCACTTGAGGCCAGGAGTTTCAGACCAGCCTGGGCAATATAGCAAGACCCCCATCTCCAAAAAGAACAAACAACAAAAAAATTAGCCAGCCTTGGTGGCATACATCTTTAGTTCCAGCTACTTGAGAGGCTGAAGCAGGAGGATCCCTTGATTCCAGGAGTTCGAAGTTGCAGTGAGCTATAGTGGTACCATCGCACTCTAGCCTGGGTGACAGAGTGAGACCCCACTGTTTCTAAAAAGAGAGAAATATATATTAACATGCATGTTGTGTTCTTATATTTTTGTCTCCTCCCATTTCCAGCAGTGATCCAAGAGAGGGAGATCTGTGGCAGAGCTGGAAGTATAAGCTGCTTGAAGCCAGTGACTTTTCTTTTTTTTTCTTTAGATAGGGTCTTGCTCTGTCACTGAGGTTGGATCTTGGCTCACTGCAGCCTTAAACTCCTGGGCTCAAGGGATCCTCCCACCTCAGCCTCCCAAGTAGCTGGGACTAGAGGCACACACCAGCTAATTTTTTTTTTTTTTTTGGCCAGGCGCGGTGGCTCACGCCTGTAATCCCAGCACTTTGGGAGGCCGAGGTGGGTGGATCACGAGGTCAAGAGATCGAGACCATCCTGGTCAACATGGTGAAACCCCATCTCTACTAAAAATACAAAAAATCAGCTGGGCATGGTGGTGCGTGCCTGTAATCCCAACTACTCAGGAGGCTGAGGCAGGAGAATTGCCTGAACCCAGGAGGCGGAGGTTGCGGTGAGCCGAGATGGTGCCATTGCACTCCAGCCTGGGTAACAAGAGCGAAACTCCATCTCAAAAAAAAAAAAAAAGAAAAAAAGAAAAAAGAAAAAGAAATTGGTCTTGCTATGTTGCTCAGGCTTGTCTTGAACCCCTAGCCTCAAGCAATCCTCCTGCGACTTCCCAAAGTGCTGCGATTACAGGCATGAGCTACTGTGCCCAGTATATTCTGAAAAGGATTATATTCATTGATGAAACCAAGCCAGATGTCCCTGGATTGACATAGGAATGGAGGGCATTTTAGGGCAGCAAGAGAATAGAGGTCACCCCGGTCATCTGGTCTTGGCAAACATTCCACTACTCACAGGGTTGGATGGAAACAGCAGGGACAAGGGATCTACAGACACCATGCCAGTTTAGTAAAGGAGCATGTCATCCCTAACCAGTATGGACAGAGGGCTGATGACAGCAGGGAACTCCTCAGACTTTGGTGCTAGATAAGACCATAGAATGTCTGTACAACTAATGGAGATGAGGATTCCCCAGTAATAACTAATGTGGATTTCCCACTAGCATCCTAGGGTTGGATATCAGAGTCTAGAGAGTCATACTGATGTTTATTTAAAGGTGTTTTGAAAATGTGATATTTCTTATATGCTCAAGGGTATGAATTAAGATCCATATCTGTTTGTTAGGCCTTCTATTCAAGTTTAATGAACAAATCCTTATTTTCTTTCGGAACGTTTTCATGAGTATCATGAGCTATTTTACAATTTTTTTTTTTTTTTGAGATGGAGTCTCACTCTGCCGCCAGGCTGGAGTGCAGTGGCACAATCTCGGCTCACTGAAACCTCCACCTAATGGGTTCAAGTGGTTCTCCTGCCTCAGCCTCCCTAGTAGCTGGGATTACAGTCGTGCACCACAACGCCCAGCTGATTTTTTCTGGTATTTCTAGTAGAGACGGGGTTTCACCATGTTGGTCAGGATGGTCTCTATCTCCTGATCTGGTGATCCACCTGCCTTGGCCTCTCAAAGTGCTGGGATTCTTAATGGGATAAGAGTCAAGAACTCAATTAGTGGCTAGGCCCTAGATTCCACACAGGAAGTGAAGATGAGAGGCACCAAGCCTGCCCATCTGGTCACCCATCTTTCACTTATGCAAAATTTGAATCATTTCAGCCATCTGACACCAGGGATTTGCCTACTTAAATGAAGTATTCACTAAGACACAAAGTCTAAGAAGTAGTCTTTATTGAATACACATTTAATGAGCAACTTCTATGTGTAAGCACCAGCTTTAGATCTGATTATTAGGTTCAGTAATCAATGGGCTGCATATAATTATTGAACCTCCTTTCTTCTTTACACTGATCCTTTCCCTTGCCATTCCCCTTCTCTGTCTACACTGTAACCGAAACAGTCCAGAATTTGGGGAAGAATAACTGACACCTGATGGGTCTAGTCATCACACGATGGTGTGATGGTCACAATGCAGCCAGCCTACAACCTAGCCTGCTTTCTACTACTCTGACAATATATTGACTAGACAGCTAAAAGCATGTTCAATAACTTACTAGCACCTATTGCAAGGGGGATGACAACAGTGGTAGAAGATATTTCACTATTTTAAGTATTTATGTCTAAGGAAAATCAACCTATGTTTACTTGCAATTCTTTTAAAAATTAGCCTATGTGCATCTATGACCTATTTCCCTTGTCTCCTATAACTTGTAAAAAAATTATTTAAATTTTAAAGATATTAACAATTTGTCTCTTATATATGTTTTTATGTGTTGTGACTATTCTATTCTTCTGTGTTGCATCCCTAATAATTCCCTTCGTGTTGTTTTATAATAAAGTCATTTAAGGTATTTATGTATTAAAATCTATCCATCTTTTCTTGTAGGCATCTTGCCAATAATCTAATATTTAGAAAGTTCATCTGAGCCAAGATGATAAAATCTCCTTCATTTTAAGCAAACAATGTATGGTTTCACTTATCAAATGTAAATCTTTAATCCATTTGGAATGTACTTTGGAATAAAGTGTAATGCAAAAAAATCTAACATTCCCCTCAAATATTTAGACTATCCTGTTCTTTCACTACTAATTCAAATATTCCCTCTAACATGTCTAATAAAATACATATGCACACAGATATTTCCATTCTGTTACCCTGATCTATTTTGGTGCCCAAAATACACTTTTAGAGTACCATTTCATAACAAATTTTTCTATGTGGCAACTTCTTAATTTTCTCAGAATTTACCCATTTTCATGTTTTATTTTCATTAAGTCATTTAAAAAGTTTTATTATCCTTGAACTTCCTTTGCATATCAATGTGGGGAGAAAAATACTTAGAAAACCATACATATAATCTAATCCCAATTTGTAAAAAAAAAAAAAAAAGTTGTGTGGTTTTTTTTTTTTTGAGATAGAGTCTCATTCTGTCTCCCAGGCTGGAGTGCAATGGCACAATCTAAGCTCACTGCAACCTCTGCCTCCTATGAATTGGAGGGTTCAAGCAATTCTCCTATCTGAGCCTTCCAAGTAGCTGGATTACAGGCGCATGCCACCACACCCGGCTAATTTTTTGTATTTTTAGTAGAGATGGGGGTTTAACCATGTTCCCTAGGCTGTTTTTGAACTCCTGAGCTCAGGCAACTCACCTACCTTGGTGATTTCAGGCCTGACAGCCTAGGATTACAGGTGTGAGCCACCATGACTGGCCTAGTTGTGTGATCTTTATTACAAATATTTATGTATATACATAATTCCAAGAATGTATGGTAAAGTATTAACTGCTTCAGGTGTGTGCTAGGTATCTCCCATTTGTCCTCCTCCCACTCACCACTCCCCATCACTCCCCTCGGCCCCCCTTCCCACCATTTACTTTCCTTCCTGCTCTGTGTCCCCCACACTTACCAACACAGACTATACAAAAGGTCTTCCTTGCCCTCTGGCTTCCAGTTTAGTCAAAGGGAAATACCCAGGAGGTGATGGAAGGAAAGAGAGTGAAGTCAAATATTTGTTCCCCCATTCCATTTTCTTTTCAGGGTCGCTGTGAGCTGACCACATCCTGAAGATTACAGCTACTGTCAGGTGGACCCTTCTACACAGCTGTATGCCATTCCAGTAACTCCTTCCTTCCCACCCTCTGCTATCCCCCTCCCTGCTTCCATTCCTCTTAGCCTCCTTTGCAGAGGGGTAGTAACACTATGTTATGGCCTGAATTGTGCACCCACCAAATTCATGTTGAAGTCCTAATTCCCAATACCTCAGAATGTGACTGTAGTTGGAAACAGGGTCTTTACAGAGATAACTAAATTAAATAAGGTCATTGGGGTGGGTTCTAATCTGATGACTAGTTTTCTTTAAGAGATTAGGACACAGATACAGAGGGAAAAAAGCCATGTGATGACAAGGTGGATGGCCGTGTAGAAGCCAAAGAGAGGCCTCAAAAAAATCAACTGGCAAAACCTTGATCTGACTTCCAACATCCAGAACTGTGAGAAAATATTAAGCCAATCAGTCTGTGCTTTGTTATGGCAGCCCAAGGAATACTTTGTTATGGCAGCCCACATCACAACCTTACCCCTCTGGTGACAACTCAGGGAAAAAAAAATCCTTAACTTCTCTCAAATCATCCATTTCGGAGTCCCATTTATTTATTGCTGGGACCCTGACTGATCCAAGAGAATTATATGATTCTTATTTATATTTGTTCTGTTTTCTAAAATTTCTACAATAACCACAAAATACCAGCCTCAGTAACATGAAAGGCACACTGCAAATTACTTGCTTTGAAATTTAGAAACAAATTTTATTTAAGATCTGAAATACAATTCCTAAAATATCAACTTTTCCAGAAAACCGTGGCTACACAATAATGCATTGCCTCTATCATGTTAGAACGTGCATTAGACTCAAATACAAAAACCATGAAACAAATCACCATCCTTCAACAATTTGAGCAAAGATAGAATGCCTAAGAACAACATAGATGGACTTGCAGAGGATGGGCTGTTTTACTTCAAGCACCATAAAAAAAAAAAAGAGCACAAATGCATGGGTTTTCAGGTATATACATTAAGTTGAACCTTTGGCACTAGGAATCAGGGCGTTTTTTCACGTAGCATTAACACATATTAGAAAATTGTGTAGTGTCAAAGGGATAGGAACCACCAGCATTCAAGCAATGTTGTCAACTAGGCAATAAAATGTTCTACTGAATGTTTCTTCTTTGTTCTAATTACTGCATACACTGGTAGCAACTTTGAAACGAGAAAAGGAGCTTACACTCCTTTTATTTTCTGTTTAAAACAGAACAGAAAACAAACTGAAACATAAGCCCTGTGATACATTAACGATTTTAAAGAACATCAACTTTACAAGAAAAAGACTAAACAGAAAGTGTTTACAGATACAGGACAAAAATGGTGAGCTGTCTGTAGACGCTCACAGGGCTTTGCGGTGGTACTCAGCAGAAGCCACTTTGTAATCACTGGCAGTAAAGAGAGATGCAGAATTCTTTGCCAGATATTTTAGGAAATCATGCAGATAGCCCAACAATAATGCAAGGCTTTTCTCATCAAGGGGTGTATAGGCCAACATTGCTCCAATTCTTACAAATAATCTCAGTAGGTGTGGTGCTCCATAAACCTGGGACATTGGAGCATCAGGGTGAGCCAAAAGGATTTCAGCATACTGGGGCCTCTCAAATTTGTAGAGCAGCTGAGTGCCCAACATCACATTGAAATATTCTTTTATTCCTGCCACAACTTCATTAACCGCATATTCCTTATTATCAACATTTCCCTGCGATTTCTTGCAATTTGCATACTCCTCCAGAATTGCATCTACATTTTTCTTAGCAGGGAGTTGGAACAGCTGCTTCTGCCTGGTAACTAAGTCCCAGTCCTCAACGAGCCATGGTTTTAATTCTTCAGGAATCTTCACTTTAACTTCCATTCTATTCTTAAATGCCTCCTCGCTTTCAACAGTGGGGTCAGCCCGGGCCCTTTTCTTCCGAGGGGGCTGAGGTGCTTCACTGGTACTGCCACCGTCTCCGTTTCCAGGAGTCTTCTGTTTGTTCTTTCTGGTCTTCCTCACGGATCCTGAAGGGGGGTTCTCTGCAGAGCGACCCCCCCATCTTCCTGGGAGAGCTGGTTCCAGATTTTTCTGCTGGGGACCAGCTGTCTTCTTTCCTGAGGAGGCCCCTCTCATCTTACTTCTCTGCATGTTGCTTCTAGTTGGTTTTTTAAAGTTGTCTTCTTCTGCAGATTGTTGTCCACGAGGTTGAGAACCCTGCTTTCTGGAACTCATTCAACCCTGTTTTTATTCCAACCACTGTAATATATAAAATATTTTACTTGGTTGTTTTCTATGGCAACCTTTATGCTTCGTAAAGGCCCATCAGAGCATAACACATTCTAACTCTCTTAAAATCTGGATTTCAAATCCTATTTTAGGACCCTTCGTAAGTGATTTTTTTTAACCTCCTTTCCTTCTCTTCTCTCTGTTCCTCACTACCAGCCACTACTCTCATCTCACCCAAATACTCATCATATTTACTCATAAATTACTTTCTTGATGCCACTCAAAAGATAGGAAAGCAATTTTAAAGAAAGAAGAAATTAAGTGAAAAAGAAAGTATAAAAGGCAGTGGAGCTGAAATTTAAGACTTTTGAACAGGAGAAATGACAATGTGGAATAGGGAAGTTTATATTTAGTTGCCTAGGGGCAAAATGAGTAACAGTAAAGGTTCTTGTATAAGTCCAGAAAGGCCTGAACTAGGATGATGGCAGAGTCAAGAGAAACTGATGAATACAGCAAGCAACCACGAAGAACAGAGTAACCAAAGGAGGGAGAAATCTGCATTTTCAAGCCTGGGTAATCAATGAATTTAATAAAAGCACTAAATTTAGGGCTTAGTTTGGAATCAGAAATAAAATGACAGAACATAGGTAATTCATCCATTCATTAATTTATTCAGTTTGTCATTATACATTACTGCATATCTGCTTTGGGACAAGTACTATGGTAGGTGCTAGAGATCCAAATATCTAAAGTGACAATTATAAAACAGTAAGGTTAGTATAATGATAGTTATAGGCACAAAATAGTTTGGGAGCAGACAGAAGAAATGGTACATGACCATCAGTGATTGTTGAAGGTTAAAAAAAAAGATTGGTGAGGGAGGAGTCAGTGATGACTCCCAGGTATAGGTGATTAGGTCATTAATATTATCACCAAATTATAATACTACTCCATTTACAGGAGGAGGAAATGGATATTGCGTGTGAGGTGTACAGTTAAACATAAAATTTTAAAGCTCAGTTTAGTCCAGCTAACTGGGTACTCCCCACAAAGAAATTAAAGCTTGTGTGAGAAGTAAAAGCCAGAAATGGAGATCTGAGAGTAAACATCATATAGCTGGTAGTGGACACTACGAGGGCCAAGAAAATCAGGGAAAAAGAATTTCAAGTACGGAATTCTGGAAAACCTAAGGACTAAACGCATTTAAGGGATGGGCAGAGAGAGAGACCACAAACAGAACAAAAATGTTAAGAGTAGCCATAGGAGAATTAGAAGAATGTTATTTTGGATGCCAAAGAAGGTAAGAATTCCAAGAAGAAAAAGGTATAATCTACAGTGCAAAGTGCAGCAGGGAGTGCTAGTAAGATAAGGATGCAAAAAATAGACTTCCATTATTCTTAGGGTGTGACAGAGGAAACAATTCCTTTGACTTACACAATCTTCCTTCTTTCCCTTCCAAGAACTCCTAGTGATTTCCCAGATGAAATCTTATAAATCTTCTGGGATGGTCTAGAAGGGTGAAGTGGGAGATACAACCTAGAAAGAAAAGCAGGTATCTGCAATGAAGATGAACTTTTGTGAAATCATCTAAGAAAAAAATGAGTAATTTATAAATATGTGGTTTATATGTTTACATTTGAACAATTAAATGAATCATATACCACAATTGTAAATCAGAGAAAATACTTGAGTTCTGCTGTCAGACAGACCTTTACTTCAATTAAGCCCTATCATTTATGTGTTGAGACCTCAGGCAAGACATGTAGGCTCTGTTAGCCTCTTTTTGTCATTTGTAAAATGTGGCGAGTTACCTATAGCCTTCACAGGCTCCTATGAGAATTTCATAAAGGGGATGTGGCTGAACAGCTAGCACAGTACCTTGCAGGAATATTTGCACATGGATACAAAGATGTTCAATGTAGTGCTGTTTGCAATACTGAAGAAATGGAAAACACCTACCTATTCTTCAATAGGAAAATAACATAAATTATGTATGAACACTACAGAACATTCAAATGAATTAAGCAGAGATCCATGTACTGACATGGAAAGATGTTCAATATGTATTAGGTAAATAGGCAGGTGGCGTAACACTAAAGGATCCCAAATTCAATAGAATCCTAAAGAGACAGATAAAGCCAGGCAGGGTGGCTCATGCCTGTGATCTTGGGAGGCTGAGGAGGGTGGATCACGAGGTTAGGAGTTCAAGACCAGCCTGGCTAACATGGTGAAACCCCGTCTCCACTAAAAATACATAAATAAAAAATTAGCTGGGCATGGTGGTGCATGCCTGTAGTCCCAGGTATTTGGGAGGCTGAGGCAGGAGAATCACTTGAACCCAGGAGGCAGAGGTTGCACTGAGCTGAGATTGTACCACTGCACTACAGCCTGGGCAACAGAGTGAGACTCTGTCTCCAAAAAAAAAAAAAAGAGGATAGGTTTTGGGAAGAGTTTCCTAACACACTCAAATGAGAGTGTGTTTTAAACAGGTGTCTATAAATGTGCATGGAAATATCTAGAGATAAAATACCAGCCTGTTAAAATCAGTGTAACCTCTGAGAAAGGGATGATGGTAGACTAGCCTTAAACCAGGTTTCTCTAGTAACTACAATTTTCACCCACAAAAAAAGCCCATTAGCCATTCTGCAGCCATTAACACTGTGCAGGCAGGTGTCAGGGAGGCTCTGAGAAGGAAATCAAAGAAATGTTTGTTAGTAGCACTCGTGGGCAAAAAAGCAGGCTGGGCACGGTGGCTGACACCTGTAATCCCGGCACTTTGGGAGGCCAAGGCGGGTGGATCACATGAGGTTAGGAGTTGATGACTAGCCTGGCCAACATGGTAAAAACCTGTCTCTACTAAAAATGCAAAACTTAGCCAGGCGTGGTGGTGCACACCTATAATCCCAGTGACTTAGGAGGCTGAGGCAGGAGAAGAGCCTGAACCTGGGAGGTGGAGGTTGCAGTGAGCTGGAAGATCACTCCATTGCACTCTAGCCGGGGCGACAGTGAGACTGTCTCATTCATAAATAAATGAATGAATGAATGCTTGAAGACTAGATCCCTGAATGAATGAATGAATGAATGAATGAATAAAAGCTTGAAGCCTGGGCGACAGTGAGACCCTGTCTCATGAATAAATAAATAAATAAATGCTTGAAGACTAGATCCCTGAATCAGGAAAGCCAGTTATTGGAAGAGAGGCCTAGATGTGAGTACTTTCACTAAGCAAACAATATCCTCTAACTGAAAGAGCACAAAGCTCTGAGCAGAAATTCAAGAGTAAAGTCAGTCTTTAGAAAGCATCAAAATTTGCAAATATGGAGACTAACCTTGTGGGAATCAGAAACCTTCTGGCTAAGAGGGATACAGAGACACATCCTGTGAAGTATCAAAGACAGGGGTGACAGTGGCCAGTGTATCACGGCATTAAATTGTAAGCTGTCGTGCTTCTAAAATAATGTTTCTCAAAGAACTGCTTTGTGACAAGGACAGAAAAGATACAGTATCTGAAGACTTCAGAGAAATGTTAATACAGGTTGCGTATTCCTTATCCAAAATGCTTGGGATGAGAAGTGTTTCAGATATTGGAATATTTGCATATGCATGAGAATATCTTGGGGATGGGACCCCAGTCTAAACACAAAATTCATTTATGTTTCATATACACCTTATATACATAGTCTGAAGGTAATTTTATACAGTATTTTAAACTTTTTTTCGCCTATCACATGAGGTCAGATGTGGAATCATCTACTAGTGGCATCTTGGCACTGAGAAAGTTTCAGATTTTGGAGCATTTCAGATTACGGATACTCAACCTGCATGAGTAAATCCAGAAAGCCCATCTTGTGGCTCAAAGTGCAGAGGTTCCATAAAACAAAGTGATGGTAGTAAAACTATCACCTAAAGAAAGCAACATGACCTAGTGCAAACCAAGCTGTGTAAAACACATTGAGTAGTACCCCAAAACCTAAAATCCAATAAAAAATTTAAAAAAAAAAAAAAAAAAAAAAAAAAACACATTGAGTAGAGCAACGCTGGACAAAAAAACCATTCTGGAAGTTACACTGGTCCCTGGTGGGTATACAACTGTGAATAGGGGTAGAGGGGGGCAATGACTCAACACATGGAGAAAATGGGGGCACAAATTAGGGACAACAGTCACCAACTATTTCCCCACCTGTTCCCTACAGGTAAGCTCTAGGATAAGCCATAAATTGAGAACACACATTTGTACTTATATTTGTCTTAGTTTTCTATCTTTAACAGTTTACTCTCTGTATAAATAATACATTTAAACAGAGGTGAGCTCATAATGCCTATCAAATCTTAGATCTTTCCTTTTTAAAAAATTTACTATGATAACCAGTCATCTTCCCATGTTAAGGTTATAATATGCATCCATTTTGAGTCATATAATAGATTTTAGTCAAATGAGCATACCTTAATTTACTTAGCCACTCCTTCCCTAGAAATATCCAGTGCACTCCTCCCACCAATGTATTATTTAATAATCAATGAAAACATTTTATGTGAACATTTTTTGCCCTCACTTCCTATTACTCTTTTAAGACTCTCAGAAGCAGACTTAGTGAATAGAGATAGAACACTCTTAATACATTGTTAAATTACTCACCCTGCACAAGTCGTGCCAATTTTAAATTCCACAGTGTGTAAAACTGTTTACTATGCCTCACGCTCTGGCCAACACTGGAGCTCTTCATTTTAAAACAATTTTTTCATTTTTAAGTTTAAAAATTAAGAACAAGGCCAGATGCGGTGGTTCACACCTATAATCCCAGCACTTTGAGAGGCTGAGGTGGGCAGATCACGAGGTCAGGAGTTTGAGACCAGCCTGGCCAACACAGTGAAACCCTGTGTCTACTAAAAACACAAAAATTAGCCAGGTGTGGCCGCAGGCCTGTAGTCCCAGCTACTCGAGAGGCTGAGACAGGAGAATCATTTGAACCCGTGAGGCAGAGGTTGCAGTGAGCTGAGATTGCGCCACTGCGCTCCAGTGACAGAGTGAGACTCCGTCTCAAAAAAAAAAAAGAACAAATATTTTGATAGATTTCTTTTATATTTTAACTCCTTAATGCATCTAGTAGTTTGTAAGTTATGAACTAACAATCTTTGTTCACCTCAATTAATTAGATCTTGTGGTGCCATTAATATTTCCTTTATATACCTACAGATAACAAATTATATAGATATGCATTCTTCCCTTATCACCTCCCCTTCTCCAACCCCAATCCCAGGACTATCCTCTGAATGAACATGTATGCCTTCAAATCTTTTCATGTACACATTCACACAAAATGTAACTTTAAAGACTCAATGTGTATATTATACACATAGGCATGTGAACATATATCATGTATTTACTTAATTTGTTTTGACAAAGGGAAGATGCATACTGCTCTGCACCTTGGTTTGCTCGCTTATCATGGGCATCTTTCCATGTCAGTACATACCTACCTCTTTTTAATATTCGTGATAAATTCTATAATCTGTTATGTACTATAACTTAACCAGTGTCTGAACATTTATGTTGTTCCCAATATTTCATTATTTTAAAAATACTGCAATGCACATCAGTATATAAAAAGACTAGAGCATTAGTTAAGTACCTCTGAAGGATACATTCCAACAGGAACTATTTAGTGAAAGGATTTGCTTATTTATAACTGGTGAAATAGAGCCAAATTCACCTCACAAAGAACTGTTCTAATTTGTACTCCCAACAAAAATGTAAAAAATGCATTTTTTTTCATGGCTTCAGGAACACTGGACAAACATCTTTTTGAAAAAAAAAAGGAGAGGGGGTTTTCTTGGGCCAATCTAACATGTAGTAAGATGATTTCATTTGAATTTGTGTGATGTCATCTTTTCATACGTTCACTGGTCACATCTTACATGAATATTTTTGTTCTCTCTTCTACTAGGTTGTTTGCTATTGTTTTCTATTAAGTAAGTATTATTTTATGTTGGAAATTCTTTTTCCAAACCATCACTTTCTCTTGTCTAATGAATGGTACCTTATCATAAGACTGTTGCATGTATACGTGCATGTATCTCTCACTATCACAGACAAATCTATCAGTTTTTCTCTTGTGACCTTGGGCTTCTTTGTCATGCTTAGGAAAAATGCTCCAAAAATATTGTAGAAGTGATTTGCTGCCCATTATTGATACTTTTATAGTTTTCCTCAAATGTATAACTTTTTCTAATATTCTTCACTAAAGAGTTTAACCTTTCCCCCTTAGTATGAACATTCTATATTCTCAGAGGTATATGGGTCTTTTAAGGTACTTTCTTCCCAGTGATTTTTGCCCCCCCCCCCCCCCTTTTTTTTTTTGGCTTTTTTTGAGACTGAGTCTTGCTCTGTCACCCAGGCTGGAGTGCAGTGGCTCGATCTTGGCTCATTGCAACCTCCACCTCCAGGTGTCAAGCAATTCTCTGTCTCAGCCTCCTAAGTAGCTGGGATTACAGGCGCCCACCACCATGTCTGGCTAATTTTTGTATTTTTAGCAGAGACAGGGTTTCACCATCTTGGCCAGGCTAGTCTTGAACTCCTGACCTTGTGATCCACCCGCCTTGGCCTCCCAAAGTGCTGGGATTACAGGCATGAGCCACAGCCCCCAGCGATTATTTAACTTTTAAAGGTATCACTGTCTATAGGCCATCCATTCTGTCACAGTGGTATATCTGATAGTTCTCACCAGTATTAATTTAATTATCACAGTTTAAAGGTATAAATGTTGCTCTTGAATAACACTTGAAAACAGCTACACCAGGGATATTTAATGCCATATTATTTTAAATAGCAAAACACTGGGACCAATAGAAAAGGTTATCAATAGTGACTTCACATATTATGTGATTAACATTTTATAATAAAAATATATATTTAAAACTCACACTGACTTTCTGATCTACTCTTATCCATGGATCTCACATATGGCCAGCCCAATTTTTCAGTTAATCATCACTGCATATTGTATACTTTGTAGACATACCATTCAGCCTGGGCTCATTCCATCCTAGGTTTTACCCATCCTCTGAGGCCTAGGTCAAGGTCCTCTTCCTCTGTGAGGCTGTTTTTCTCTATTTCACATCACCCTGACCTTGCTTTCTCTGAGTCCGTTAGCTCGACAGTCCACCCCCTACCTTTCACTGTTAATCATTCTCTAAATGATCTCTTCTAAAGGTATTCTGTGCCTATCTATCTAATGCATCTATTCCACCCGGGCAGTACCCTTCTCTGAAACCTACTTTCAGAAGAGAGAGAAACAAGGAAATTACACTGATTCCATATGTAGCTGTGAAAAGACTGAAAAACCTTCAAACCTTACTTCGTCTCCACATGCAAGCAATGGGACATGTGGAAATCAGACTGCAAAAGGTAGTATCTTTTGTGTATGCATGTATCAGAAAAGAGTGTGAATAACATTTTGTTGGAATAAACCTTTAAATGTACATATACCGTATCAGTTACATTCATATCAATTTTCTCTTCTGGATCTTGAAATATTTCCTTTATATTTAGTAGATTTTTTTTAAGTTTGAGACAAAGGAGGAATGATATAAAAGCTGTTAGCAGACTGGATATTCAGTGAAAAGATTTGCTTATTTATAAATTTGGTTTGAAATGCTAGCTAAAATTATAGCTCCTGGAAATTCCCTCATAAATATATATGATCAATATACTTAAAACCTTTCTATATTGTTAAGCCAGAAGTCATAATTTCGGAACTCAGTTCTAGTGGTAACTGCTGCTTCTGGAAAATGAGGAGAGAAACCAACAGCATTAATGTTTTTTTTATAATTCCAAAAAGAGATATTCACGGCTTTTAGAAGCATGTATAAGTATGCAGACAAAACAGGAGATATCAGGACTAACAGAACCATAGTTATTATTAGAACAAATACTTAGATGTGCCATGCACTGTCCTGGTATTTTACATGTAATCCTCTCAACAATCCTATGAAGTAGGAACTATTATTATCATCTCTGTTTCATATATGAGGAACTTAGGTATAAAGTGAGTAAGTATCTTGCCCAAGATCACACAGTTAAGTGGCAGAGCCAGGATTTAAATTCAGGAAGTATTTGCTCTTAACCACTAAACTATGCTGCATATAGGATGCTCCGAAGAAAAATATAATATATGGATCTGTGGAACTACTACAGGGGATTGACTGTAATATCTTTTATCAAGGAATGTAAAATTACACAGGCCTCTGTTGCTTATGCAGTTTCTATACTGGAACTACCAATGGACTTAGCTCCATCGCTTCCCTTCTCAGAATTTAGACTACTTTCCCAGACAGGAACTTATTAATTTTCAAAATATTCCTGGACGGTTAAGAAGGTTATGTGGTATTATCTTGTTTGAGAACTGAGGCCAGAAGGGAGGCACTTACCCAAGATTCTGTAATCAGGGAAGGTTCTGCAATCAGGATCAGATCTCCTGATCCTTACTATACAGCAAACTTAGCTTTTCGGATGGTGACCTAGAAGGTCAAACAAAAGGACAGGAAAGGACATAAAATAAAAAGATATGAGATATGGCTTTCTTCTTCATCAGCCAATGCAATTTCATCACACACAAAGGACACCAAAGCTGATAAATAATGTACAAGTGTTTCTTTTTCCTTTCTTGTGGCTACATTTTCAAATTTAATTTATTGTACATTTATATAATTTCTGACAAATTTAAAAAAAACTTTTCCTTAAAGATAATTTCAAATGGATAAAAGAAATAGTATTATAAACCTACATGAATCCATCATCCAGCTTTCAACAATTACCAACTGAAGGCCATCTTGTTTCATCTATAACCCCACCCACTGCTCCCCCGCACCCCCGACTTTTTCAAGCTCACCGGAATATCTGGCTTTTGTATTTTATTCCAGAAAAATTTAAACGTATACCAAGGAAAGCAGATAAATATAAGGAACTCACTGCGTATCAATCAGCTTAAATTATTATTAATTTAGGGCTAATTTTTTTTCATCTATACCCCTCCCCATTTCCCCCCACCGCTGAGATTATTTTGAAGCAAAACCTAGTCATTAATGTATTTAGAAGTCAACCTCAGACATTACATTATTTAATCCGTAAATATTTTTGCATATGTCTCTACAAAAAAAGGACAATTTGAAAACATAACCACAATACTACTGTGACGCCTAAAAAAACTGACATCAATTCCTTAAAAAACATCAAATATCGAATCCGTGTTCCAATTTTCCCGATGCGTCTTAAACGTATTTTTACAGTTGGTATGTTCGATTCAGGATCCAAACAAGGCCTACTCATCGCATGTGGTTCATCTCCAGCTCGCTCTCGTTCTCCATCTCTTTCTTTCTCGCACCCCCCACACCTTTTATTTAACTTTTCAATATGGAAAAATTACAATCTATGCTATTTTCAGGCAATTCTCAAATAGCAAATTATTTCATTGTTAAAAATCGATATATCTCTTTTATCTTTTATTCTACGAAAGAAGTTGATGGTAGAAAGGGCACTACAATTAGCGAATCTGCATAATTTATAATTTTTCTCATTCTATTACGCAGATTATTTATCTCCATAACAATACATAATATCTTCAGGAGCCAGGCTTCATATTACATGCTCTATACGCACTATTATACAGTAAACGTCGCTGAGGTAGATACTATTATTATCACCATTTTACAAACATGGAAACCGAGACACAGAAAGAACAGGAGCCTTGCCCAAGCTGGGCGTTGGCAAGCAGGAATTTGAATCCAGCTCTGACCGATTGTGAAGCCACTAGCTAATCCCGTCTCTACCCGACGAAAAGAGGAAATCATCGACCCTTTCTCCCCACCCCCACCCCGAAACCTGAAACGAGAATCCAGATCTTCCCAGCAGCCGACGTGTGATCACTGCCGTTCCTCCAACCGCCATAGTAAAGCCAGGTTTCTCTGGCAACTGATATCCATAGGCAGACACGTCACCCTGGAGGAGGGCGTATGCTCTTCAGCCAATCACAATCGTCTTGTCTAAGTTTTAGAATGTTCCATAACCAAATGATTGGATAACCACCCCCACGTCAGCAATGACACTTAGCCGCAGTAAAGGCGGGTGCTAGCAACCTGCTTCTTCACTGTTAAGGCCTACAGCAAACCAATCACCTTCCTCCGTTAGTGCGAGTTCCGGCCAATGACGTTCGCCCTCTTAGGTTTTTAGCCCGCCCTCCAAAAGCGTGACAGCCGTTGGGTCATAAGTCTATAGGGCAGAATGTTCACGTGGCCTATTTCACGACCCAGAGTTCCTCTGACCAGAAGGTTTTTTTTTTTTAATTTTTCTTTTCTTTTTTTTTTCTGCAGGGAGGCATTATGGGTTTGTGTTTCCCCCCTCCTTCACTGGGAGAGGAAGTGTCTACGTGGCCTGCGGAAATAGGATAGGCGGAAATGAGCTAAGGTTCCCGCGAGTGGGGAAGCGAGAGGTCATATCTGGGGCCACGCCCCCAGACCTGTGGCGCAACTCTCCGAACATGAAAAAAAAAGACGCAATGGGGGTTCTGCTGTGTTTGCGAGTGAGGGTCCCGAGTGCCGCGGGCGCAAGGCATTAAGGCCAGTGTGTCAGTGCGCGGGAAGGCTCGCGTGGGGCCCTGGGGTTGCTCTGGGAGCGCGCACCGGCCCTCGTGGCGCGGGAGGTAATGTGTGTGCGCAGGCGTGCGCCCCGGGCGTCGGGCTGGTGAGAGCCACAGCGCGCACCGGCACTCGGGCGCGCGGGCGCGCGTGTCTGCTGGTGTTGGGGGGCGGTGAGGGGAGGGGTTAGCTACGGCGCGCAGGTTGTTATCTATTTCTGTATTGTTTGAAAATGTTCTAATGAAAAGGAAAATAATTAAGGCAAGGCGACAATAACAGAGATAAAAGGGGCTTTGTCAGAAATATTTTGGCTTTCTCTACTGATTTAATTAAAGACTTAAAAAAATACACTCCCTACGTTTTCCTTTCTGCCAGAATCCCACTGTAAACCACAGCCCTCCAGTGGTTTAAGAGCCAAACCCTTCCATCGCCACATTAGCAACTGCAAAGAGAGGCTTCTTTCAAGTTCTCTAGTATCCTCCTTCCTCCCCTCCTCCAAACCTCCCCCCCTCCCTCCAAGGCTGCATGCAGTTTTCTTGGCACAAATACGATTTTCCTATGGGAATGTCTATACGACAGCATTCCCCTTCATTAGGGACTCCGAATTTTTGTGGGGATTGAGGCGCTCTTACCTTTGCGTCCTGATTTCCAAGCACGCACACTGCCCTTCTTCAGGCAAATGCGCACTGTTAATTTTCCAGAAAGTTCTGTGGGTTAGGGTTATACCTCTCGAGTCTCCCACTAGATGCCGCCAAATCCCAGCAAAGGATTGGCTGTTTGGTCCCTGGGATTATGGGGTTTTGTTCTCCCCACTCCCCTTCTGATTTGCTGAACACTACAATCTATGAGGATCATGGCTGTCGTTCATTCCTAGGGAAAAATAAAATCAACTTCTGTAAATAACACAAGTAGGCAGGGGACTATGATCCAAGGTCCAAATAATTTTGCTTCTTTCTTTCCTTTTCTCCTTGGAAAAAAAAAAAGGTCCCTCTCCAGCACTCTCTTCTTTTGTCCTTGCCTTGTTTAATCAGAGTTAATGAATGACCCAAGCACTGATGTTGAATATGCTAACCCTTTTTCCTCACCTTTTCAAATGCTCACAATTCACCCAAACTGAAAATACAGATAGCTGTTCAGTCAGTAAAGATAGGTAAGAACTCATCAGTAAAACTTGGACCCTGGTATTGAAAACTGATTTTCCTTTTCTCTTGAAATTTGTATCAGATATGTGTGTTTACACCCTATTTTCTGTAGTGTTTTTGGTAAACTTTATTGTGTCTTTGGAGTAAGAGACCTAATTGTAGACCACATTCCATCACCTCAGTACGCTGGGCAAATGATTTATGTTTTGTGACCCTCAGTTTTTTGTATGCTTTCTGTATTTTAGATGCTATGTTATATCCTTCACGTCGATTTTTAAAAAATTCATCACCAAGTCCTTATTAGATGAGCACTACTAGATCAAAGTCAAATAACAAAAATCATATCCCTTTCAGTTATCTATCATATATACTTGTATACACACACAGGGAGGATTTTTTTAGAGCAGTGGTTCCCAAGGTATGTTTTCTGGATGTACCAGAAACATCAGTATAACCTGAAAAGTTGTCAGAAATTCACATTATCAGGTCCGACCCCAAACATAATGAATCAGAAGTTCTCAGGGTGGGGTTTGATAATCTGTGTTATTAACAAACTATCCCAGTGATTCCAGCACACACTGAAGTTTGAGAACCACTGCTTTGGAGAGTAGAAATGCAATGCATATTTTTGTACACACCACTAGAGGGTGCTACAGAATGTAAAGCAAAATAATAAATGATATACAATATATGTTTTCAGACACCCTCCATATTATCAGTCGTATTTTACAGATTAAAAACTAATGTATAGAGATGTCAAATTATTTTCTTAGTGCACACAACAAGTATGGGAACCAGGATTTGAACTTTACCTGCCTCTAGCCCAAACCCCTAATAGTACTCTGTTGTTTAACCATAATGACTTGTCTTTCCAAGCCTCAAAATACATTAGAAATATCTTGTTCCCTGCTTTGGCGAATGTTTACTGGCTTGTCAACAAGAGGGCAGGAAAGCAAACCAAGTAAGTGGAAATATTTCGATATTTCATACTCATACTCTTCTTCACCTCCCTTCTATAATAAGATATCACATAAAGGCTTCTGAGTGTTTCCTTTCTTGCTCTTTATTCCTCAAATAATGTTCTTTTTACTCTGCACTTTCCTTATTTGTTTATGTCTAAATCTTCTTTTTTTTTTTTTTAAACAGAGTTTCGAACTGTTGCCCAGGCTGGAGTGAAGTGGCATGATCTCAGCTCAGTGCAACCTCCACCCCCGTCCCCCGGGTTCAAGTGATTCTCCTGCCTCAGCCTTCCAAGTAGCTAGGATTACAGGCATGCACTACCATGCCCAGTTAGTTTTTGTATTTTTGGTAGAGATGGGGTTTCACCATGTTGGCCAGGCTGGTCTCAAACTCCTAACCTCAGGTGGTCCACCCACCTCGGCCTCCCAAAGTGCTGGGATTACAGGCATGAGCCACCACGCCTGGCCATATGTCTAAATCTCTTCTGTGTGTTTTGAAGGAATCAGGGTGGTGAGGAAACAGTTGTTCAAAACCTGTTACGGGCCACGTACTCTGTACACCCATTAATCTCAACAATAGGCCTGCAAATTGGGTGATATTATCATTTTATAGATGAGGAAAGTGAATTCTACGGTGTGTAATTATTTTTCTTTGGTCATATAACTTGTAAATAGTGGAGCCCAGATAATTCCTGGCATATCTGCCCATACTATTTTACTAAGCCTTCTACTTTTTGGCTTTGAATCTGGTTTGGTTATTTTCTTGTTAAGTGACTTTTTACAAGTTATTTAACTTTTCTAAGCCTCAGTGTCACATATTAAATAGGAACAAACATTTCTATTTCATAATCTTAGAGCTGCACTGTCCAATACTGTGGCCATTAGTCATGTATGACTATTTAAATTTAAATGCAGTAAAATTTAAACATTTAGACCTTCAGTTGTACTAGTCTCATTCCAGGGGCTCGACAGCTACTTACGGTTAGTGGCTACAGTATTAGACAGTGCAAATACAGAACATTTCCATCACCATAGAAAGTTCTATTGGACAATGCTGATTTAGAGGATATAAGGTATGTAAAAGGACCTAACACGGTGCATATCTCATGGCAGACGCCCAAGAAAAGTGATTTCTTCTGCTTTTTTCTTTCAGCATTAGAGCTAGGGGTGTTCTGTTTTATTGACGAGGTCGGGAGAGGGAAGTAACTTACCCAAGCTACTGTGATAAGAGATATGTCTGGCACTGGGACCTTTCTCCTGACTCTTGCTGCAACATTCTATCTAGTATACCCATCCTTATACTTTACTGAGTGAAGTTTCAAAGCCAAGCATGTGAATAGTGTGAATTAACTTTGCAGTCAGGGTGGTAACAGAAAAAGGCATAGGAACTGAATGCCTCCTGTGTGCCACGCAGCACTGTGCCTAGCTCTTCACATCTGTTATCTTAGCGAATCCTCACTGAAGCCCAGAGAAGTTAAACATTCACCCCAAGTTGCTCAGCAAGTAAATGGCAGAGCAAGGTCCAGGCTTTTTTCCATTATGCCATACTACTCCCTGAAATGTGAATACTCCCCTGCCACCTCCGCTTACTACTGGGTCCTCAGAAAATGGGAATTACTCTTCTTTTGAATGTATCACTGAACCACTGTCTTCACAATCTGTTTCAAATGGAATGGAAAAATAGCTGAGGTCAATGTTTGTTTGGCTCCAAGGCCCAAGGCCAGACAGAGAATATTTATGGTCTCAGCCTTCAAAGGACAGGCAATGGCTCGGAGAACCCTGTGTGAATTTTCAAGGCCACCATTAGCTCATACATTGCTTTTGTGCTAATTAGAAAAGCGTGACACCTGGGGGCAGACAAATTGCAGAGAAGGGCCCATTCCAATGGAATAATGAGAAAAAGACTTTTTTTTTCTGTAGGCTGTTGCAACCTTATCAGAGCAGCTGAAGAATGAATTTCAGCCTGGCCTCTACCCTATTAGTTGGGCACCCTTGTGGAGGGTGCAACCTGCCTAACATTTTTTGCTGGCCGTCTTACCTCATGACTAAGAAAGCCTTCCTAGGCCTGGAAGGTAGCAGTCAGTCTCTTCTGGAGGGTGGAGAGAGATAACCAGTGTTTTCTCATGGTTTCTGGGTAGTAGATGAAATTGGTCTATTCTAAGGTTAATTTGATATTTAAAAATTTTGGTTCTGACTAGCTTATTGGATTTTTTTGAAGAACATTTGATTAATGTAAAGCTTAAAAATAAACCTATTTCAGCTAAGCAAATGGTATTTCTTTAATAAGGATGTTTCTTTATCTGTTTCTACCTGCATCATTCCATAGGAATTTTATAAAGCTAGTCCAGGAACGTAGTCTGAATCAACCTAGTTTGCTAGCCTGTGAGAGAGAGGGCATAGATGAAAATAGTCATGGGAAAGTTTTATCCTTTTACGGGTATCCTCTTCTAGTTCCTCTTTCCTCCTGTGACCAATCCCTGCCCCGAGATTGACCCACCCATTTGACAGAAAAAGGTTACTTCTTCAAATGACCCAAAACACTGAGAACCTGAATCTGATCAATAATGTCCCTGGGTGACCTTGTGATGCCAGACTCACACATAATTCCTTGTTGTCCCCTTCCTGAGTTAATAGTTTAGCAGTTTGCCAAAATTTGTGGTTTTGTGAGCCACAGACTTCACTTGGAATGATCCTGTAAAGTCATCCATGCTACACACCAACCCACAGAAACGAGGACCACTTTTCCCCAAGTGTATGCTGAGTCCTACAATCTAAGCACTGCCTCAAGAGGATGCCTTGAGTAATTTTTCCAGAGTTAAATTTGCTTATGCTTCTAACCTCCACCCACAGTCCCCATTACACTGGGAATGATAAAAGCTATGCCTTTTGAAAACATCAGCTGTCATATTATTAAAGAGGACAAACCAGTAGTAAAGTGCTGCATCTAAATTGTTGAAGCTTAATGCTTATTACATGGGATTTCGTTATACTATTTTTTTCTACTTTTGTGTATTTTTGAAGTTTTCTATAATAAAACATTTAAAAGATAAAAAAGGTTGTAAAGCGCTTCATCATTCCTGGGGAAGAGAACGCACGTGAGTTTCTCTTTAGAAGGGTACTTATTAACCAAGGGGTTGTGTATAATGCACACCCTTTAGTAGGGACATACCCTATAAAGATCTAGGGAGGGGGGCATTTTAGATTGAACAAGCCTCTTTGCCAAACATTCTGATTAGGTCTCCTAAAGGTAAATATCCTCCTGCTTGCAGTCCCCCTCCACCAAACCCCACAAGTAAGCCTTGCTGTAATGAACCACTGTTGGTGAAGGAAGTGTATAATATCCCTTGGGCAACTGGGAGTGGAGGGAGCTTGAAAACCATGGAAACAGGCCTTCACTAATTGGCAAAAACCGTTAGCCAGCAGGAAGAGAAACACAGGCAAAGGGAATCTTGGGGCGGGAGATGGAACTAGGAGTGTAATGGGGCTTCATTCTCACCCCAGGTGAGTGCAGGAGAGGACAAAGCTGCTAAAGACAGAGGACACCAGGGAGCAGAATATGTGGCAAAGAGGCCCTCACTCAGGACCTCAGAGTATTCTTGGAAAGCTCCAGGCCCCATCTGACTTGCAGTTTTTAAAACAGTGGGGTGGATCCCTATCTCTCACCATACACAAAAAACAACAACAAAAATAAAACAGTGGGAAAACTGCCCGAAGGCAAAGATCACACACACACACACACACACACACACACACACACACACACACTCGAAGGCTTTCAAGGACTTGGAACCTGACTGTTCCGGGTCCAACCTAAACCAACTTGGAA